ATGTCTCATTGTCAAGAGAGGGAAACTTAAAATTTTACTCAAAAATTTTATTTTTCCCTCCATTTCCCATTCACCCTCATTTTAAGACTGTTTCATCTTAAAAAATAAAAACTCAACACCAACTTTGGCTGCAAAAGCTAACTCGTGAGGTGAAAAGTTGCGAACTGCTTATAAACTGCCCAGGAATCTCTCTCCAATGTAGACGCGTACACATGCTGCAAACGACATGTATTCGTCAAATGTCAACTGTTCATTAGGTTCATGCTATGATCAACTGAATTCTTGCATTTTTTTTAATCCTCCGCTAGCTTTGGTTTTTTAGATTCATACTACATTTGTTTCCAATTTTTCTTCACCTAAGAGGAGATCTTGGACGTGACTGCTCAGTGCTTGGCTTCTTTCAATCCTCTAGATTGTTGGCTTGATTTTTACCTTGTTTGAAATCCTCCTATATTTCCTGCACCAAATGTCCAACCAAACCAGATTCCTTCTCAAGCCTAAGGAAGAAGAAGCCAAGGCAGGCAAAGAAAAGTATTGGATGTACAAAGCAGTGGAAGCCTATCTCCTTTAGAATCCCGATGCATATGCTTAGCTTGTGTTCCCAGAAATGTTGTATATCTGGCGTATATTATGTCGTTTCCAACAGTTTGTTCTCTGTGTTGGTTTAGAAGTATTGTCTCTGGTTTGTCACTAAGCATGCCTAAGTATGCTATTGCTCAGGACTTTGCAAAAATTGCAGCTGTAGTTAGTGGCGTATCTAGAATAGAAGCTATAGGTTAATCTGAACCCATAGTTTCAGCTCATATCCTGTATATCTGCCAGAAAACTCGTTAAATATATATAAATAATAGATTTTGAACCCATAAAATTAGATGAAATGCGATAGAATTTCGAATTTGAGCCCATAAAGTTCAAATCCTGAATTCGCCAGTGGCGGTAGAAGCTGTTGCAGCTCGCTCTATAAGTGTTGATAATTTAGCTGCACAGGCTGTTTCTCTTGCTATGTTAGTTGTGAAAAAAACAGACAAGAAATCCAACAACGTTTCCCCAAATAATATGATACATCATGGGAAACTATCACCTAATTATCTGCTGCTCGGTAGCTGGTTATATTTAGGTTTAAAGTAATTGAGGTGATGCAGTAGCAGAAGGCTGTCATTTTACCATATCTATTTTAATTAGCTCTTCTATAGTTGATATCCAAAGCCTTTTGAAAGGACTGTCAAAATTTTGATGTAAAATGTGCACCTTTGCTAGATATGATAGAAACGGGCACCTCGTGCAACAGTATTATCTCACGTAGAAAACTTTGTGCAAAGTTGCTTCGTAGTATAAGTAGTCTAGACTGGAATGTAGTGTGCAGGCTTCGTGAGTCTAACAACAATCATGTTTTCCCAAAGTACGTGAAAAACTAACCACAAAGTCCATGATCATCCTCTACCGCTTGCACTCAGGAATAGTTAAAGTACCACCGGACAGCTACCATCAACCACCTCTTTAGGACCTAATAATTTGTGGATACAACATTTGCATTACCTTAATTGATTTTTATATTATTAACTTTAATAACTATAATTTATAAATATTATGATGTTGGAAAAATAAACAATCTTAATTATTCACTATTCATATCTAAATACACCTTCATGTGTATTCATATTCATACATTTTAATCTTAACTAGTTTTTTGACACCTGCGTTGCACGTATATCTCTTGTTAAAGTAAAAAGCTCAAAAATAAATGTTGTAATACACAAAAATAAAATAAAAAGAGAAACATGTAATTTTGCGGACCACTAAATCAACCTTGTTAAAATTGACGCAATCCTTGTTTTCTTGTTATGGGTAATTTTGTTTCATAAAAGAGGACATAAATATTACCAATCGTGTTTGATTGCCATTTTTGAGTTCCATATAAATAAGAATCATACAACTTATGCAGAGCTTTATGTATTGTTTATAGTAGCAATATTTGGATTATTTCACCTTCATAAAAATACGCAATTAATATGAATAAATACCCTTAAAGTATGTTATGTATTTAATCCAAACTGAAATACTATTGTTTTTTCAGATTTTCTACTTTTCTGGAGTAGGGGTAAGGTCTGTGTATACACAACCCTCCCTAGACCCCACATATGTGATTTTACTAGGATGTTGTTGTTGTTGTTGTTGTTTATGTAAGATTAACTGTTCGGAAGGATTGATTTTAGATATAGCTAAATATTTGAATGACTAACTAATAAAGTAAAATTATCATATAATTATAAGACTAGTGTATAGGAAACTTGTCAAATTTTTCTGATCGAAGGGTGATCATATAAGAGTAAATGTGCAATGAACAATACAAAAGAACCCAACACTGACAAATATACAATCCTCAACTCTCCTCCCTGACCCTATCTTATCCAGTTTCTTGCATTTTTTCAGTTCTTTTTACTCATACAAGAACAATACTTCAGTTATGAAAGATCAAAGGAAATGTAGGAGAGTTCTTGACATTTATTCTAATTAGCAAATATAATATACATACAAAATGTATCTGATTTTTCTCCTTTACCACATTTTATCCTTGCGTCAATATAATCTTAACTTTTCGAGCAATCACGCCAGAATCTAAAGTACTTCTCTTTTACCCCCGAACATGACTGATTTGTTTCATCTTTTCTTGATAAAAACAAATGTTCTTGCATTAAGATATATAGTGGTTTGGGCAAATTAAAACTGAAACGAAAAAATTAGCCTAGTAGTATATGAATGAATAATTTCTAATTTGCATTTAATAAATGCATTGGCCTTGTATTGAATTAGTCGAATGAATTTAGGCATTACCAATAACACCTACAATAACTATAGGCAGATGGAACAATTTTCTCAGATTACATTCACATGTTTTAATCTAAAAGTAATTATTTAATGAAAGGTTTTCTTTTATTCAAGGACAAAAGGGTCAACTAACTTTTGAGGGATATTTTAGTAATTCAATTTTCAACTTTGGACTTCACACTTATAATAAAGTATGATATGATAAAAACAAGCGGCCTTTAAGTCGATCTCAACTTACTTGGGATTGAAATGCCATAATGGTTTGTATACGGTCAAAATCGAGTTTGCCCTTCGAATGACTAATCGATCAAGATTGGAGCATGATGGACCGAGGTTTGCCATTATAATATCGAGCTGTGATGAGAAGTTGGGTTGTCGAGTTCGAGCCCCAGAGACCGACCAAGATCGAGATCAGCCAGGATCAAGTTCGAATCCCAGAACCGGTCAAAATAGAGGTCGAGCAAATAGAGACCGATCAAGATCGAGATCGGCCAAGATCGAGATCGAGCCCAGATAGACGTCGAGCGAATAGATACCGATCACGATCGAGAGCGGCCGAGATCGAGATCGAGCCAAGAGACAGAAAAGCCGTTATAACCGCAATTGGGGGAAGAATCTCGGCGGAAATCACGGCTTGAATCAAGGAAAAACTAATTAATTAACCTATCATGGGATCTCCACTATGTATTTTTAATTATATCCAAAATAGGATTCCCCCACTATATTAAGAGTTGTTATCATTTGTAAGGGGACATTCAGATTCGCATTGAGATTGACAGAACTTTAAAGCAAATACTATCCTTTTTTGGCTTTGGTATTGATTCATATTGTTCTCTTATCAATTACTCTCCATTCAATTTAGGGTTTGTATTCATTCCTTTTACTGTTAATTTCAATACACATTTATTTATTTTTTCAATTTGTACCAAGTTATACCACGTATCCTTAGAACTACGTATAAATTTAACTCTATCCGTTTTTCGGGTAAACATGGTTAGTAGTTATATGATTCTCTTAATCCATTGAGAGAATTCATCACAGCTTGGTGTAATATGCCTAACAAGGACTTGAAGTTTGTCGTTTTTCGAGGAAAGTCCTGTCAAATCCTAGAAACTACATGATAATTGGCTAAAAGAACATATAATATGATGATAATTGCCTCGCTTTTTAGTATAATAATAGTGATATTTAGAGTACTTTATGATGTTTTAAGCCTATTTGCGTTGTTTACTTGTGTAGGAGTGATTGAAAGAAGAATGGAGGAATAATGGAGCAGTGCCATAGTCGGTGCCTAGCACCCACTGTAGCTATAGTGATATCCTCGGTGCTCAACACCCACTATAGCACCGAATTTCAGTGCTTTCCTCAGTGCCCAGCACTCACCATAGCACCCAAACTCAGTGCCATAAGCAATGCGGCGCACCCAACATATTGCGGAAGCCAACTTTTTTCTGTTTTTCTTGGACTTGGTTTAAATCGTCTAGGACCTTTTCTACATATATAAATAATCCTTAAACATACTTTTTGAGCGAAGTTCAACCCTAGCAAAGGATAAACGCTACCAGAGCAATTTAGGAGCCAAAATCATAGAGTTTTCCTTTCTTTCTTGTACTACTTGTAGTTTTATGCTCTCAAACATCTTATGATGACTAGCATGACTGTGTGTGGCTAGTTCTTCTCGTTCAATTATGGGTGCTACATGAAAAAGTTTAAATTGACGATTTTGATTTTTTCAATATTGGTTTGTTTATTTAATCATGTTCTTAATTATTTTGATGTGTAGCTAACATCGAAGTACTGTCTACGAATCTAGAGTTAAACTCGAAAGTGAAATTATAGATTGCATATAGGATTAAATAGAGTAAGTTCTTGAACCTCGGCGTTGAGGAACAGATTCGCAGTTAAGATAGACATATACCTAATTGCCTTGCTTGGTTAGATACAGGAATTATAAATGCATTCTTGTTAGTCTTAATTCCATCAACCACCTCTTTAGGACCTAACAATTAATTTGTGGATACAACATTTGCATTTCCTTAATTGATTTTTATATTATTAACTTTAATAACTATAATTTATAAATATTAAAATGTTGGAAAAAATAAACAAACTTAATTATTCAGTATTCAAATCTAAATACATCTTAATGTATATTCATATTCATACATTCTAATCTTAATAAAAACAAACGGCCTTTAAGATGAACTGAAATGAAACGACGTGGTCTGCAATAATTCATATAGTCGATCTCAACTTACTTGGGATTAAAATCTCAGAATGGTTAGTAGTTATATGATTCTCTTCATCCATTGAGAGAATTCATCACAGCTTGGTGTAGCATGCCTAATAAGGACCTGAAGTTTGCCGTTTTTTCGAGGAAAGTCCTGTCAAATCCCAGAAACTACAACATTAAAGACTGTATCGGACACTAGAAATATGGCAAAAAAACAAGAATTGCACCTCATTGTGCTGCACTAGCCATAAGAAATAGACCAAAAATAGCAGAAACTATATAAGCTGCACCTTCAAATGTGAGTTCCCTCTATCTCTTTTTATTTCACAATTCTGTTTAAATCTAACCATCACAATTTATCAAATTTATAAAAATTGCTCACTTTTACATAACTTAAAGAAACTACTCGGAAATATATTTAAGACACTTTCAAATTTAATGCCCAACCATTTTTTGTCATTTTTTTCTCCCTAACCTCATGATTTTGGTGCCCGTATACCCTTATCTCTTCTCCTCCACACGAATTTTCAACTTCTTATCTCAAACTGTTGGTTTGTTGAAAAGGGGAGAATTCATACATACACAAGAACAGAAAGAAGCAACCGTTCCATACTTTCTGTTGCCTCATTCTAAATCCATTTCTCAGATTTTTCATCTTCAACATCAACTAAAAAGGTTAGTCAATTAGTCTCTAATAACTTAAGAAAAATGTGTTTAACTTTGGTACTCGGATGGGGAAATATTCTTCAAAAAACATTTACTTTTTATGCATGGCTATATCTGCAAAAATATTTTCTGCTATGACTTTTTATGCTTCTTTCTTCAGTTTCTTTGTATTCTTACTTCTTTCTCCTGATAAAGTTTATACATCAGATCATGGAAAGAGGAAAACAAATTGACGGAGAAAGAGAGAAAGGGGAATTAGCAAACTTTGAGGTATGTCATAATTAATTTGTTCTAGTAATATTGGTTTGAGGTGTCTATCCTACTACGTAGGTCAAGAATAACTATTTCTAATAAACTTTTCACCTAACGTTCTAAACCCAAATAAAATATTAAGTTAAAGAACTAACTGAAGCATCGATTAAATTAAATAACTAACTAATTGATTATAGTTCCTATATATTATATTGGTGAAAGGTAAAACTTCTTCTTTTATAGTTACTATCGAAATTTAGTCACTTTGCATATAAAGATAAATCTAAACAAAAACACAGTTCAAAATCCGAAAAATATTCCAGCATAATATATTGAAGTTCTAATTTTACATGTAAACTTCCAGCATAATATACTGATCCAGCATAATATACTGGAAGTTCATACACAGGTGTTTCAATTTCCAGTATATTATGCTGGAACTTTCCATGTGCTGGAGTTCATACACAGGTGCACTAATCTCCAGTATATTATGCTGGAACTTTTTGTGTTTGTACCAAAATATTGGCTATTTTTCAATGACTTTGCAAACGCTGACTATTTTTCAATTACCGAAAACTGGCTAACCCGTGTTATTTTCACAATTTTGTTAGATTGTTTTTATTCAATTTTGTTTGGGCCCAACCGAACACTTATATGGACTATTCGTAAATTATAAGCTTAGACTTAAACAATTATATTAAAATACATAAATTATTAAAAAAATTATTAAATATTTATAAATTATATTATAATAAATATTTTTATTAATACAATATTTTTAAAATATACATATGTAATCTCAGGTTGGTTTGATTTCGGTTTGAATTTTTAAGTTACCAAACCAAATCAATTATGGTTGGATTATTATTTTTTTAATACCAAACCAAATCACAGTCGAATTTTTTTTTCAGTTTGATTCAGATTATCGATTTGGTGGGATTTGTCGATTTTCTTCATACACCCCTAGTTCCAATTACTTCGGATTCTTAATTTATTAATTTGCTCTCATGAGTATAACGGTTGATAATTGCATAAACTCGATCAAATTAAATAATCAAATTAATCAATATTCTCTTAATTAATCCTGATCACAAGTAGTTTAACTAACTTTCACACTTAAATTCCTTCTTCTGTTTAACATGGCAATTCCACTTGAAAAAAAAAAAAGAACAATTAGCAATAAGCCAAGATCAATCAAATAAAATAATTATATCAATCAACTAATAATAGGTTCTATCAATCTTTTGATAAAAAGATTAAGTTACAACATAATTGGAAGAATAAAACAAACGCTTCATTTTATGGTATGTTCATACTTTTCTCGGTAATCGTAATCTTTGATACTCATAATAGCATCTTTCTTTTTCCTACTTTGGTTGCTTTCTTCCCTTCATTCTTCTCTTTAGGTTTAATGGTTATAGTAATTTATCATGTACTCTTTTTTTTAATGCTTTATCATCTTTCTTTTTGGTTGGGAAAAAGTATAAATACCCTCCTAATCTATAACCGAAGTTTCAACCACACATTTCCTTTTCGGGGTCTTATTACCCCTTTAAAAAAAGTCAAAATATTTTGCACCTTGTGTGCTCACTTGGACCCAAACATGAAAACCCCTCTTTCACGCGCATAGGAACTTAAAGAAAAGGACTGTAACCTATACGAAATTGCCATGTGTCAGTCTCGGGACCCATTTTCATGAGCCGTTCTTCCAAAACACACTTCATTTCATGAACATTTTATCACACATTTTCAAGAGCTTCAAATTTAATTTTGGGTCTCAAAATTCAACAAAAACTCAACCAAATCTGCACCAATCAAGCTAAAATTTCAACTACAATTTCGCATGATTCCCATCACCAAACCCCAGTAATCAATTTGGCCAACAACCAAGAACTTCAACTAACTCGTTTTTTTGTTCTTCAAGATTTTTTAAGTTTCAACAATGGTATATTCGAAATTCTTTTTCCATTTCGAATCTCATCAGCAACTAAGGACCTAGAATTAGTTTACATTTGAATCTCAACATCAAAACTTCAACAATTCGTATTTGCTCAACACCTCCAATTCTTTTTCAAGTTTGTACAAGAACAATGACAATAATAATTGTCCTTTTTATTTTTTCCATTATATTTTGGAATTAAAAAGGAAACAAAAAGGAGGAAAATGAAATGGAATTAAAAATTAGACATACGAAAAATTAGTTTAAGTATTTATCATATTTCTCCTTTTTATCTATGGACTAATTTATAAAATGATCACTTAATAACTCACTCGTAATTTTTTGTGACAGCTCGAAGGCAAATAAATTAACTAGTTCTCACATATGTTGTGATTATTTCCTCCGTTGCTTAATCACCTCTACTTCCTTTACTTCACCTCATACTTACACACAAGCACGGATCCCTTTCGTAAAACTAATGACTTATGTTACTCTTCTAACTCCTTATATATAATGAATAACTTTAAATAGAATGATCACAAGAAATATTAAGAGAAAGGGATTGAAAAAAAATCAAAGCAAATCGCCAACAATGGTACCTTGCCTTCTCTTCTTTTACATGGTTGTGCCTATATATTCATTCTGTTTTTTTTTCCACTGCAAAATAATACTATTAATATTGGGATAAAATTAGAAAATGGAGCCATTGATTTGTTATATAGATGAAGGGAAATCAAGTGAGTTACGATCAAGCGGACTCAATATTGGTGGAGCCATGGGGAGGCACTGGTGGATCAGAATGGTATTACAAGTTGAAAAGTCCTATTAAAGAAATATTGATTGCTCATGGAGATTGTATAGAATCCATCATGTTCAGGACCGTTACTGAACAAAGTACTACCATAGACTCACCAAAGTTTGGTGGGGATGGAGGTCGAAAAGACAAGGTAGGTCCAAAAATATTATGGTAAACATATTTATTTCTCATGATTGGTACGTTCTTCTCAAGTTAACTTGTGTCATGTCATAGGAATGAACTTAAATTTTGTAATAAAATTTAATTTTCAAGATATGAAAAATGACATGTTATATATGTCAGCTTAACATGATAGTTTAGCATCTTTTTGAATTTTCAGTGTACACAACATAAACTCTATAGTTACATAAGCATCTTTCAAGTCAAAGATATGAACACACTGGTTACTTTCATTATAGATCCTCACTTGGGTTTAACACAAGGCCGTCAGAATTACGGATTTAAATGAATCCCCTTCATCTAAAAATTATGTAGAAAGGGTAAATATAAACTTCTTATATATCTAAGTTAGTTGAATACTCTCAATGCAAAGGAAGTTGCAAAGTGTCCAAATTTGCTTTAGGTCACAAATTTTGGATCCTAATGTGACATTCTTTTACTTTTCTGAATTCTTATCAAAATTACTAGACTCTGCTACTTATTTAACCGATTACAATAATCTCAGGTTGTTATTGAGGTAACTCCATTGGAATATTTAACAGGCATCAAGGGGACATTTGGACGTTGTGGTAGCTATTCGGTTATAAAATCTCTATGTTTTATAACTAATGCAAAGAATTATGGACCATTTGGGTCTGAGGCTGGAACCCCATTTTCACTTGTGATAAAAGAAGGTGGGGCTATTGTGAGATTTCACGGGCGTTGTGGAGCGTACCTTGATGCTATTGGTGTTTATTTGCAGAAGCTTACTCCTCCCACGTTATCAAAGGAACCTGAAGCTAAAAACATTGAGCCAAATAAACCTGTGGTTGAAGAAATTGAAATCTATGACGTATGTTTGTGATTATTCCCTCGTTTGCTTACGCATCTCTACTTCTTGAATTTTCTTCACCTCATACTTGCACACAAGCACATATTCCTTTCATAAAACTAATGACTTAAGTGACTCTTCTAACACCTTAAATAGAATAATAACTTTAAAAAAGGAATGATTAGAATCAGGTGATCATAAGAAATAATAAGAGAAAGGGAAAATAATAAAAAATCAAAGCAAAAATGTTTCTGCTATATAAGCTTCTTTCTTCAGTTTCTTTGTATTCTTACTTCTTTCTCCTGATAAAGTTTTATGTGGAGCTAGCATACTTGGAGGTATGTCATAATTAATTTGTGCTAGTAATATTGGTTTGAGGTGTCTATTTCTAATAAACTTTTCACCTAACGGTCTAAACCCAAATAAAATATTAAGTTAAAGAACTAATGGAAGCATCGATTAAATTAAATAACTAAATAATTGATTATAGTTCCTATATATATTTCTTTTTTCGGTTTGATTTTTTGGGGTTTCCCCCCATAATATCCGGACAAAAATATAATTAATGCTCCAAATATTTCTTTTATCCTAGTAAGATACAATAATTATAGTTCAATAATCATTCATTTTCGTTGTCACTAAAGAAAAGTGATGTTTTAACTTCAATACCACACAAGAGGGGGGTGATTTGTGTGGTGTCCAATTTTTCGCGTGCACAGATTATAGAAGGACCTGGTTCTTCTATGTGTTCCTTATACTACTGTTGCGGAATAATAAATGCAGAAATTAAAGAACACAAGGATTTTTATGTGGAAAATACCTGGCTCGAAAGGTAAAAAAATCACGACCTACTTTCCAGTAGGATTTTCCCAAAACTCTTCACTAAATCACTGAGCCAAAAACTGCATTTACAAAATACTTTTGTAAACCTAGGATTAACTCTAATCCCGTTCTGGCACACAGCCTCTAACTGTTGCGACAACTTCAAGTTAACTCTAACTTGAATACTCTGAGTACCTATTACAATTGCATCTAGATAAAGCTGAAAGGTACAATATGAAAACACCTACTACAATTGAACTAAAATAAAAGACAGACACTTGGAACTGGTTCTTCTATCTGGTTCATGTAGCTTCAGGTTCGCACACTTGAATCACACAAGAACTGCTGGCAAAATGCCTTGCTATTTTGCTCTCAATTCACGTTTAACTTCTGCTTTTGTGCGTCACTTGTAGAATGAGAACTTCCTGCGATTTATAGAGTTAGTAGAGTAGAAAGCAACTAGAGTTAAA